TATCTTAAATTTAAATATTTATTTGGATCTTACTGTCCACAATATTTCTAAAACCTGTGAGTGTTTTCTATGTAACATATCTAAGACCATTCATATGTAAAAATTTATTTTCTCATCATCACTTTCATCATACTTCTTAATTACTGTAACACAGCTTTTAAGCTCATAACAAATGTAATTTTCTCAGTGACCACAAGACTGCTTCAAATACAATGTTTTTTAGTCCACTGCTTTGGCCATGATACTGCCCTTCTTTCTCCACTATGCTGGTTCCTCTCTTCCCCCTCACATAAAATAAAAAAACTTGACTTAATGTTTAAAGTCCTTGCAGGCTTTTACTGACATACTAATTACCTTTTAATGACTACTCAGACATTGAATCTCATCTATGTGCAGTTCAATCTCAGCCAAGTATTTCATTTTCTAACAGCCCTTCCATGCTGTCTTCACAGTCAAAGGGTGCCTGTAAAGCATCATTATTTTATTTTCAAGAGGCATCTTAAAACTCATCCTATTTCAGATGCCAAAAACTCAGTGATAGTTAGAAACGGTGAGTGTACAAAGACAACTGGTTTTATATATCCCCATAGACTTGTCCCTTATCTCTTGTTCAAACTTCTTTGTAAATTGTCCAAGATTGGGACAATCCTTTTTCTTCTTTGTGTGCCTTGACATAGTGAACAGCACGATGTATCCTCCTGGACCTTCATCACAGGCAATGTAACAGCAGCCTGTAATGTACATTTTTGTTAGTACATAGTGTAGTTTGAAAAGCACAACTGGAGATTAGAGCTTTCACCCTTTCCCCTTCTTAGTTATGCCTTTAAAAAGTAAATGCTTCCATCCAGCTGAGCATAGTCACTAGCAATAACTTTTACTAAACATTTACCACATATTTTTTCTGGATACTGGCCTCCATTTGAAGTATCTGAAGAACTTGACTTTTGCACTTTTTAATATAACATGCATACACATAGATGCAGTCCTCTATAAAGTCTTGCTCATGCTTATCTAATTGATGCCAGTGAGATAACTCAAGTGAGTGAGGACTACTCACATTAACAAGACTTGAAAAATTGAACCTGTAATTCACAAAAGCTGTTGAACATAATACACTTTATTCTGAATATGTCAAATGTTAATAATCACAACCTGGGCCACTGAAAATCACTGAACTCATGAGCCACATTCCACTTCCAGTAACTACATACTTGCTTACCTTAATTTTTTTTGTCTATATTAAGAAATCAGACCTAACAGTTAAGAATTTGCTTTTTTTAAATAACTGGTTTGTGTTTTTTTCTGATGTCAGAAAAGGTGTTGAATTGCCATGCAATTAGCTTTTAAATTAGCACACCAATCCACTGTATCACTTTTGGAACAGGTCCAGTTCACCTGTACCAGAATATAACATTTTAATGAACAGAAGCACAGGGTATATTAAACATCTAACATAATACTATTTTATGACAGACTACAGTAACAGTCTAGAAAAGGCTACTCTCTAGATATATTTATTGCTCACTTTTATAGAAATGGTGGGTTTTAGCACCGAAGAATATTTTCTCAACTTGTGCATGACTGTATTCCACTTTTAAACATTATTCCTGAATCTTAGGAGAGAATTTACATTCTTCAGTACACATTCATGCGTACCTGCAAGTCTAGTGAACTAATTTGTTAACAGCTTACATCTGTGCAATTTATAAAGCTTAACAAACCAATATAAAATTATTTCTGCTTGTGCTTTCTTTCTCTTTGTTAATCTAAAATGGAATTCTATGTGAGTTTAATTTCCAAGTCAGACATTTAAAGTTTCTGCCTCCTTTTCAAGTTGTTTCAAAAAATCTTCCAAAACTCCCTGCCCAAAGCAGTATTTGTTCCACCTCCCCTCATTATACATTATTTTTTTTCTAGTTATTAACATAAACTTGCCTATTATTGGATCAAATTCCACCCTGCCAAAAGGAACAAGTCCAGCAACATCAATATGCACTTTCGTCAATGGACTAGTGCAAGGTTAAATATGTCTTTCTGATACGATCCTGAGAAGGATACTGAAAAAAATCCAAATTTGCATTTCTCTGTGAAACACTCTATAAAACATCATTAATTCATTTGTGTGCTCATCTTCCACTGTTAGCCTATTGGTTAATTTGTTATTTTTAATGTTTCAAGATCTATTCCTATATTAAAAGTCCATGTGTTTCCAGAATTGGGTTCTTAAAAGTGAATTAAGTAGTAGTTGCTGAAATATACAAAGTGACACTGGAAAAATTTCTATTGGAATAGTCACTTACCATAGTAAATTTTGTTCCTTGCATGTACTGCCTCCAAAGAGGCCCCCCTTTGGGATTACTTTCCCTGCCATGAAGCAACAGAAACCATAGAAAATGTTAGATATTAAATGGAATATTGACATCTATTCCAAAGTTCTGGAAGAAAACAGAAAATTCTCCTACTCTTAACTCCCTAAGCATTGTAACATTCCATGAATATCCGAGGAAATAGCAAACTTGAGGAGCTGGTATAAATCTGCATAGACAATTCACTTATTTTAGGTAAATAGCATCCTTTTTCTCTCTTCTGACACTGCCTACACAGATCTAGTTAAGTAAAAGACTGGTAGAGACAATTCTGACAACATGGACTGAGGCAGACTACTAGTTGTAGAGGGAGTGAGCTACTCTCTTGGGAACTTTTAAGCACATTAGCTACCTCAATGACGATGTTGTTATCTGTTTCTATATTGAAACAGTCTAGCCCTTAGTTTTTTAGCAAACCTGACTGAAAATATATCTTAAAAAATGTTTTTTTATAGTCAAGCAAATGATTCAGAATGTGTCCAAAAACTTAAACCAAGACAATTGCTAAAAATGGCCAATATTACTATAGTTAAGAATATGGGAGAGGAGTGAGGGCATTTTAAGACTGATCACCCTAACACAGACAACTGCATTTTTATGTGCTCCTTTTAGATTCTGTAACTACAAGAGGAATATTCCGTGTAGAAGAATGAGAAAGGTACTACTGCATCCTTCCAAAAAGATGTGTGACCTTTTGGGTGTTAGGAGTTTGACCTTAGGTATGTATGTCTACCTTATTATTTGAGTATGCGAAGTATGCAACTCAACAAAATCTTTTTCTATGCTATTTTGTCAACAATAAAAAAGGGCAGACTTAAATAATTTACATAAAAATGAAATATGGGGTTAAGAAAAAAATCAGGTATATTTTAAGTACAGTGTTCCCCCCCCCCCCCCCCAACAAAAAAAAAAAAAAATTCACCAAAGCCGCCCCCCCCCCCCCCCCCCAAAAAAAAAAAAAAAAAAAAGTGCCATAACTCATGAAGAGAATGGCATTTAACTTTTGGCTCTTCAGTTTCCTTCTACTTCGTCTGTAGCTTCGCCAGACATTGTTGTCTACTGTGTCACCTACTGACTCTTTCTTTTTTCTTTGCTTCTGTTTTCCACAGAAATTGAGTAGTTGGTCTTCAAACTAGGGCTTGTTTCTGTTGTCCACAGAAATGTCTCATGACATTTCAGATGTCCTTCAATATCCCACTTGGCCTCCAGCTGCAGTTCCAAAGTCTCTCATAAGTTATGCCATATCTGCTGTCCTGTGTAGATATTTTGGCTACCTTGGGACATCTCAACCTGTACTAGATGCCTCTTTGCAGGCAGCTGTGTCATGTCCTCGCTGTCAAACAACTATTTCCAGAGACTATAATTGCAAACTGTTGATAATGATATACCCTTTGCTAGAAAATGGACGAGCTTGCTGTGGACATACAGGAACTAAAGATTTTTAAGAGGTTAAAAAAAGCCAAAAGGATGAAACAGAATCCCATGTGAAACCACTAGGTAAAGTCTACATAGAAACAGAATCTACCACCTTCATTTTCTGGAGCATTTTACGAAGCCATGACTTTTTTACATCACAAAGGTTCTATCCAGGAAAGCTTATAAAAAAGTTTCCTTTGTGGATTCGTAAAGAAAAAGAAGTCACAACTGGCTTTGAAAGTACTTGTACCTAATCTGAACAGCTGTAAGCAAATACTCGAGATATCCTACATCCAAGGAATGCTTATCACGCTCACACAACAGCCATTACCATCCAAGCACGTCTCTTCTATAAAACTCCCATCAAACTCAGGCACAGAAAAATGACCTGAGTGCTCTGGCCTTTGAGAGCTCCATCATCTCTGAGCTCATAGGATCAAAACTAAAAAAAGATATAATTATCCTCCTAAATGCGTTCTTCAGATGTGTGAAATACAATTTCTAGGATGGAATTTTAAGCTTCTAAAGAATGCTGATATGCAAAGTGGTATTAAGGCTTCTCTAAAAGATCTGCTAAAGCTTTGAGTTTCCCCTCCCCTCTCCCTGAACGTGCTACCACTATAATATTCTAACTTCCACACGCATGTTGTGCTGCTGACAAAAGCGAGCTGTGAAAAATGTTACTGCATATTTCAGCCTCTGAAACACCTACTGGTAGACAAAACTTGAAGAGCATTCTGCTATTCTGGATTGCGCCAAGACTGAAAAGTCACCCCCTTTTTTACATCTGCAGGCCACTGAAGATTTCTTTGCTTCTCTCCTCTGGACCACAAGATTGAAGAATCGATGAAATCAACCTTTGACTGAGTCTTTAATGAACTATAAAGACATGTTTAAAGTTTAGAAAGTGAATCAGGGAAATCCAAGTTCTGTAATGTCTCAGTATGACTTATATAATTACAGAATTTAACGCTCTCTGAAAAGCATTTCTATGGCAATCCGAAAGCTAGAAGTATGTAACAGAACCAAATCACTGCACGTTTTAATATGTAACTGGTCTTAAAAACTAACTTCAAGTGGGTGCAAGTGTTAACTGGCAAAGTATACAGGCTCTTCCACCATATTTTTCAAAAATCTTTAAATAAATATAAGTACCATTTTGTTTTTAAAAATGACTGGAAAGACTTTTTTTATTAAACAAAGAAAGAAGCAAATTACCTGGCAAGGCTTCTTCATTTTAATTGCTATAACATGGTATCTGTAACAGCAGAGTTCACAAGTCCATGACCCTCTTTCACTTATCCACTTTAACAGGCAAAGCTGATGCGTGTATCGTACTGACCCATCACAGCGGCAAGGATTTAACAATTCACCCTGAAAAGGCAGCACAGAAACATTACTTTTAAAGGGATCTTTTATGTACGTGTATACTCAATACCAAAATATTAACAGGTCTGTAACAATGAACCAGTCTCTGTTTCAATACATGAAAAAACCCATGTATTTTTGGCATGAGAACAAAAATTCTCAAAATTAAACTTGTCTTAAAAATGTTTAAGTGCTTCTAGCGAGTCAAAGCTAGAAAACTGCCTATGCATGCATGCATACATACATACATGAAACAACTTAAAGATTACCATGCATCAAACAACAGTAGCATTAGCCCTTTCCAATACCTCAAATTGTACCAAAAGTGGTTAGATGCATTTCTCCAACAGTTATTTGCAGTCATCACTAGGAGAGAAAGGGGTGACGTCACAGAGAACCATGCTCTTGGAGCAGGGTTCTGCACTGTCCAGCTAGCCAGCGGTCAGGCAGGACCTCAAATACTGCAACTAAACACTTTCCCCAGTAGCTCACGTTTCTATATTATACAAATCAGCTATACTCTTCTTTCCTTGAAAATGTATATTTATTTTTTTTTCAGCTAAACTACAAGACAAGCTACAAAAAGCTAGCTGCGGATCCATTGCTGATAGTGTGCCCAGTAATGTAAGGACGGAGAAGATCCTTGGAGGTCTTCTCAGCATTACCTGCAAGCTAACACTCTCATTTTAAAGTCTAATGGAAACCTGAGAAATTCGTACTGTTTAAAGTCCCCGAGGGGAGAGTCAGCGAGCCTGACGGCACCGAGACGCACGGCGTTCAAGCCAGCCACGGCAAATCTCTGAATTTCCCTGAAGCTCCGCATCGACTCGGAATTGCCCCAAGCATTGGTGACAACCACCTCGCACGGCAGCCGAGGCTCGC